TTAACCCTAGATGCTCTGACACATGCATAAAAAGGAAAATGTTCACCAACTGGACTGGTCAGGTTTTCCTAAAGCTTCCTTCCATTTGGTACCCAAGCACATGTCTGTGGTTGTCTTGCTCTTTCTTATCAAGAGCATTGGTGATGCAAAACACATTTCAGGATTTGCTTCTAAGCTGCTGACACTGTCTGCAGGTTTTGATAGGAGTACAAGACAAAGACAACTATATTGTAACTGTTACCAGGCTAATAGCTCACCTGCTATCAGTGATGCAGAAATGTGGGTGGGAAGAAAAGTGCATCTCAGATCAATGTATGGTGTGTCTATTGCTATACCTGTGTGGTGTACAAATGGTTGGGCTGAGCTCTGGTGGCATAATGCTTAAGGCATTTGACTTCTAACCACAAGGCTGGTGGTTCAAACCCACCAGCCACTCCTCCAAAGATTGGGCAATCTACTTCCATAGAGATAGTGCCTCGGAAGCCCGAGGAGGGGTAGCTATGAGTCGGAATTGACTTGATGGCAGTGAGTTTGGTTTGGTTTGGTTTGGTGGAGAAGTTAAGGAGGTGGTGGGATATGGGGGTCTGGAGTTCAGTGCAGGGTCAGAGATGAAGAAATGGGTGTGCGGATTTGACATCCACTCATCCCTGCAGGCCTACCTGAGACCATGCAAAGAAAGTGTAGGTAAGGAAGTGCTGAGTTCTGGGGTACTCAAATGTTTAGAAAACCTGTAAGAATTGGAGGGGCTGTGAGTGAGCAGACAGGGTGGCAGGAGAACTAGAAGAATAAGGCTGTGATCTGGCTTCCTCTAGAGAGACCGTCAGCTGGGCCAAGTGCTACTGAGAGGTCAAGTAGAATGAGGGTGGAAAAGTGACTTTTGGATTTGGCCAGCAAGGTCACAAGTGACCTTGACAAAAGGAATTTCTGAGGTTGGAGACAGCTATGGTGGAGTTGGATGAAACCAGATAGATGGACTGAGATGAAGAACCAGTGGAAGAGACAAAGTGTTCAGACATTTTTTAGTTTTCTTAACAAAGGGAGATGTACATCAAGAGAAGTGGCCAATGAAACCCATTAAATGGGGACAAGACAGTCTCTTTAACAAATGGTGCTTGCAAAACTGGATATCCACTTGCAGAAAAATGAAACAAGATCCATACCTCACACCATACACAAAAGCTCAAGATGGATCAAAGACCTAAATGTAAACCCAAAACTATAAAGTTCATCAAAGAAAAAATAGGGCCAAGCGTAAAGGCCCTAATTTATGGCATAAACAGTCCATCAAACATAACCAAAAAGGCATCAACAGCAGAAAATCAACTAGATGGCTGGGACCATTAAAATTAAATTATCATCTACATAAAAACCAAAACCAAACTCACTGCCATCAAGTAAATTCCAACTCCCAGTGACCCCTATTGGGTTTCTGAGGCTGCAAATTTTTACAAAAATAGATTGGCCCTTTTCCTTCTGCATAGCAGCTGGTGGATTTGAACCACTGACCTTCTAGTTAGCAGCCAAAGGTCTTATCCATTACACCTTTTCCAAAAGAGTAAAAAGAGAACTTATAGACAGGGAAAAAACATTTGGCAACAACATATCTAACAAGGGATTAATCTCTATGATCCATAGAGAATTGCAACACCTCAACAACAAAAAGAAAAACAACCCAATTTAAAAATGGGCAGAGGACATGAACAGCGACGTCACCAAAGAAGACATTCAGGTGGCCAACAAACACATGAAGAAAGGCTTTGATCATTAGCCATTGTTGTTGTGTGTTGTTGAGTCAGACCTGACTCATAGCAACCCCACCTTGAGTTTCCGAGACAGTATCACTATGGAAGTAGATTGCCCAACCTTCCTTCCATGGAGTGGCTGGTGAGTTTGAACCGCTAGCCTTCAGGTTAGCAGCCAAATGCCTTAGGCACAATGCTACCAGAGCTCCTGGTATTAGCCATTAGAAGGTGCAAATCAAAACAATGAGATGTCATCTCACCCTAGCAATAATAGCAAAGTTCAACAAGGCAGAAACCAACAAATACTGGAGAGGGTGTAGAGAGACTGGAACTCTCATACACTGCTGGTGGGACTGTAAAATGGTACAACTGTGGAAAATGGTATGGCACTTCCTTAAACAGCTGGGAATAGAAATACCATTTGATCCAGCAACCCCGCCATTAGGTATATATCATAAAAAAGTGAAAGTCATTGTAAAAAAAACCTGATAGAGTCTGGTGAGACCCCTGAGACTCTGGCTCTAGGTGCCCTTCAGGTCTGGAACTGAACTCACTTCTGTAGCTTCCAGCCAAACAATAGACAGGCATATGGGGTGTATACACTCCAACCAATCATGGGAGAGCAGAAGGGCAGTGTTTGCACAGGGAGACAGCTGGGGGTGGGGGGTGGGGTGCATGGGAAGGAAGGACACAGGGAAGAAATGGGAAGACAAGTTGTTCCATTGTGGCGAATCGCAGTGAATGTCATGAAACAAAATGTGTATGAATTGCTGTGTGGAAAATGAATTTGCTCTTTAAACGTTCACTCAAATCACAATAAAAAATTTAAAAAAATAAAAAAAGTGAGAGCCAATCCATGAATAGATATATGCATGCCCATGTTCATCTCAGCACTATTCACAATGGCAAAGAGATGGAAACAATCTAAGTGTCTATCAGTGGAAGAAGGGATAACCAGACCATGGTACACACACACAACGGAATACTGTCCAACATTTAAGAATAATGCAGAATCTGTGAAACACCTCATAAAGTGGATGAACTTGGAGGACATTATGCTGAGTGAAATAAGTCAATCACAGAAGGACAAATATCGTCTGAGTCCACTATTATACAAAGTCAAGGAAAGGTTTGCACATGGAAGCAAACTTTCTTTGTTGGTTACCAGGGATGGGAGGAAAATTGATAGCTAAGGAAGAGACACGTATTGATTTTGGGGAAAGAAGGAAATATACTAAAAGTGGCTGCCAAGCACAATATCACTAAGGAAAAGGAAGACATAGAGAGGTACACAAGAGGTACAGACCACAAAGGTGAATTCTATCACATATACAATTCTGCATTATCCTTTACAACAAACATTCATCTGTGGGAGGATACCTAGATAGAACAGCAAGATGATCACGAATGGGAAGCAAACGGGAATATTCTCCTGAACACATAGAGGTCTGGCACACAGTATTCCCATGCACATATTTCTGTGTGCCGTAAAAATGTCTGTACACGTATTAGAGCCAACCGGGGCAAAGCTATCACTTCTTTTTTTCTTTTTCTTTTGGTGTAAGTTTACAGAGCAGTTTGTTTTACATTCAACATTTTGTGTACATTTAGTTTCATTCCCCCTTTACCATCCCCAACCCTAACCCAGTCTCCTTCCCTCCCTGCCCAGCAACAACCCCCCTCCATAGTTATGCAGCTGTGTGTCCTGCATTTCCTCCTGGCCAATGTTGCCCGTCTGGTGCCAAGGGATACATTTCCATAGAGAAATCAGGACGTGAAGACAAATGTACATGAAATGTGGAATTTAAATTTGCTCTGCAAATTTGCACCCAAAGCACAATAAATTTTTTTTTAAAATAATAAAATTAAATTAAAAAAAAAAGAGCGTTAAGGTGACAAAGTTTGTCAACGATTTGTTAAAGAAGTCAAACTTCGAGGTCTTATGTTTGTTCTAAGAGAAAAGCACCAAATCTTTGTTTACACGTTTAGTTTTATTATAACAAAGTAATTTGTACACTTTAACATTTAAAACTTTCCTTTCCAGGAAAACAAAACATAAACAAAATGTAGAAAACAAACAGGAACAAAATTACAATGTTGTTGTTATATGCTGTGGAGTCGCATCCGGACTCATAGTGACCCCTCCTTGGGTTTCCGAGGCAGTACCACTGCGGAAGTAGGTTGCCCCATCTCTTTCCCAGGAGTAGCTAGTGGGTTTGAACCACCAGGCTTCAGGTTAGCAGTCAAGTGCCTTAGGCACTACGCTACCAGAGCTTCTCACGTCTTTATTAGGAAAGGGTTTTAAGAACTGTCATCTTAAACTGCAAGGATGTCATCACAGTTACACGTGGCGTGTTGTCAAAAATGCTGACCTCCCCCGTCCAAAAAAAAGAAAACAAAAAATAGGCGGCCCATAGGGACCCTTTGGGCGTTTTTTAAAGTTCGCCCAGCAGGGACTAATCAATGGTGCAGGAGAGGGTAACTGCAGTCGCCAAGGCCTTGAGAGGCCAGGGGTAGACGATCCAGAGCACAGGGCGGGGGTCAGCCGTGGACAGGATCCAGCTCCTGCCCGAGAGCTAGCAGAGATGCAGCCGTCAGATAAACAACGTGGCCAGGGGGCAACGCGCTGCCTGACTGGCCGGGGAGAAGTTTCTTCCCCGTGTACCTACTTTTAACAAACCCTTGCTCTCCGCGGCCCCTGCTTGGTCCCAGCTGGGGTTGAGGTATTGCAAGTGTGAGACGTTAGTGGCATTCAGCAGACGGCCCGGGCCGGTCCCGACTGGGGACACCGCAACCCCCTGGGTGTTCCACTCTGAGGGCACCGCCGCCCCCGTGTGTGGCGGGGGAGGTTACAGAGCCTGTCCCGTCAAGCAGCTTTACGCTACGATCTTCCCACCCTCTTGAGACTCCCGGGCCAGAGCTGGGCTCCTGCCGCAAACGCACCACCCGGTTATCCCTCCTCCTTCCTTTAGGCGCTACAACGTCCAACGTGGCGCTGCACATTGCGCATGCTCCACCTCGGGGACCGACGGGACGGGGCCGGGCGCGCTGACGCCATCACGCACCTCGAGGGCGGGTGGGCGGGGCGGCGTCGGGCAGGGCCCCCGCCACGTTGGCGCCGGCGGCCGGGGGCGTGTCGGCCTGTTTGCAGTCCGCGCGCGGACCTACTGCCCTGCGCTCGCTCTTGTGCTCGCTCGCTCCTGGCCCGCGGTCCGGCCTCCGCCGCCACTGTCCTAGCCCCGCGGAACCCGGCGCGCCATGTCTTCGCCTCCCGAAGGGAAACTAGAGACTAAAGCTGGACACCCGCCCGCCGGTACTGATTTGTTTCCCTTTCTGTCCTCGCGCGGTCTCAGTGCCTCACCCTCCCGAGGGCGGGCTCGAACCTGCGGCCGCCGGGCCCGGGCGGGCATCGACGGGGCGCTTATCGGAGGCTCCGCGGGGAGGGACCGGTCCTCGAACCCTGCCCAGGGTCTTAAATGCAGCGCATGAGCGCCGGTCCAAAGAAAACGTTCTGCTTGGCGCTTAGAGACTTGCCACCTCGAAACAAGAAACTTCTTTGGCGTGGGACAGTCCCTGGTAGGATGGTCACCTCCACGCAGCCCCGCGCTGGGGGAGACCCGTTTCTTTAAAGTATGAGAAACACAGCTTACTTGTGCTGATTTGTATGCAAATTAGAATGTCTCAAGGAAACCCAGTTGCACAACTTTAAAAAAGTTTTGGTGGCCAGTACTTCCGCAGAAGTACAGATGTTTAGGTAAAATGAGTAACAGAAACAGAAGTCACTGTATCTTGTAGGCCGATAGCATTGCGTGCTGACACAGTATCCAGAGGAATGTGCCTTTTATTGTTTGACAAATCACTAATCGCTCAGGATGATTTATTTTACCCTAGTTTCTTTAATACCCAGCTTTTGGTCACAGTGGTTTATTCCAGCAAGTCCTAAACTTGTCAGCCAAGCAAGTTAAACCCAGGAAGAGCCATCCTTCCTGGAAAATAGTGATCTAAGCCACCTTCATACTCGTCCCTCCTGGTTCTGAGCACAGTTGCCCTTTGTGATTGCCACCCTGTGCCAGCTGTGGGTTTCCATTTCTGCTCTCCTTTTGAGTGACGAGCCATCCATATGGAACGACAACAGGCCAGAGACTCAGAGGCGACTGGGTCCCAGGAGCCAAGTCACCTCAAAGTGCCAGTTTCTCTTAGGGTCTTAATCGCATGTGTTTGCGTTGTAAAGTCAGACTAGAAGTAACAGAATCTATAGAGCAGCGTGGCTTTGTTTGGTGGCTCATGTTGATGTGAAGATTCCAGGAAGACACTGGCCGGTCTTGTCACGTCCACCCCTCCCATCTCTCCTGTATAGGCCACTGCTTCTCCATCTCAAGGTCTCCATGGAGCAGTCCTTGGAATAGGTCGCTTTCCAGAAGATGGGCTCTTGTTCACGGCTGGAACTTAGGCTGTAGACAGCAGTAGCAGCAACCAGCTGGCCTTCTTGGGTGCCATCAAGTCGGTTTCTACCCCTAGCAACCCTATGTGACAGACTAGAACTTCCCCCCTAGGGTTTTCTGGAGTGTAATCTTGTGGAAATCGATTGCCAGGTCTTACTCCGACAGAGCCACTGAGTGCGTTTGAACGTCTAACCTTTCCATGAGCAGCTGAGTGGGAGAAAAACGGCTACCTGACAGGAAGGGACTTGAGGGCCTTGGGAATTTAGAGAAGGCACTGTGAGGGACAGTGGACTTTGGGGTCCTCTGAGGAAATTGAGTCGCGTTATGTTTGTGGGGCATTAGTGCAGAGGTACCTCGCGGGGGGTTTCCTGTGTGGATCAAAGCCTGGTCTGTAATTCCTACCCAGGTGGACCCATGTGCAGCTGCAGCAAGACGTGGCACCATCCCCATAGGCGGAAGGCCTGTTTGCACTTGTGGTCGGACTGCTCCTCCGGGCCCCAGCCCCAGCAGTCTGCACAGCCCCCCGACCCTGGAGTAGTAGGCTATGTTAAAGGGTGTGGATCAGAATGAGATGGGATCAGAGTAGCAGCAGTTACATTGTGTGTGGAGTCACGTCTGTATGGAGATTCTCAATATCAGAGATACAAACTGTACACATTAAACCCTTAGGAGAGTTTTCATGACGGGAACTGACATTTTCTTGCAATTGTCAAATGAAGAGTGAGGCTTTGGGAATTACAGATTACGCAGCTTGTGCATGCCTGTGGAGAGAGGACGCTGCGTTAGTGCTGGTGAACACGGTGAACAAGGTCGTGGTTTTGAACCATGTCTCTTGTCTTCTGGGAGGCTCCGTTTCCTTTTCTGTGAACTGCCAGGGTTTGGGACAGATGATCTTCCTCTGGGAATCGTAAGGCAGGGCTGCCTTTCCTCCTTGGCTCTCACTGGGGCTCTGTTGTCTCCATCCTTCTTGGAGCTCAGAGCCCCAGGGCAGGTAAGCCTGCAGCTGAACTCCTCAGGTGATCCTGGAGGTCCTTTTCGCCTTTGGCAGTCCCTGGGTGGTGCAAACAGTTAAGCCGACAGGTTGGAGGTCTGAGTCCACGCAGAAGTGCTGCTGAAGAAAGGCCCGGTGATCTCTTTCTGAAAAATAAGCCGTTGAAAACTGTGGCGCACAGTCCTGCTCTGACACACATGGGTCGCTGCGTTGGAATCACTTGCTGATGACTGGTGTGGGTTTTAGCCCATTGGGGCCCAGAGCTCACTGGGTGGCAGAGGTTAGATGCCACCGCCATCCAGCTTTTTACCAAGACTGTTAGGTTTGGACAGGGCTACAGGGAGGCCCTTGGCACCCCGGCCCAGAGGTGCAGGTTAGAAGGTGCCTGTTAGGCCGCGGTGTCACGCCTCTGATGCACTGTCGCCCTTGTGGCACAGAGAGGCCCTGTGTGGGAGCCTTTCTTGGCAGGAAGCTTGGCTTTCTTGTTTAGTCTGGCATAGCCAGAGTAGGCGGTTTTGTGGAGTAGTTTTTTTTTTTTTTTTTTTTTTTTTAAAGGCAACCCACTATAATAAAGGATAATCATCAAGGGGGCCAAGAGCAGAGCCCATCAATCAACGTAACGGCCTGGAAAACCTGGGGAATGCTTTCATTAGGAGTGTCAATTGGATAACAAAGACTGGTACAATCGGAAAGAATAAAATTCTCTTCCTGTGCCTGTCCCAGGGGCTCTGGTGGTACAGTGCTTAAAACATTTGGCTGCTAACTGAAAGATCAGCAGTTTGAAACCACAGCTGCCCCACAGGGGAAAGATGTGGCAGTCTATTGCATAAAGATTTACAGCCTTGTAGCTCTAGTGGCATAGTACCTAAGGCATTTGACTGCTAACCAGAAGGCTGGCGATTCAAACCCACCAGCCACTCCTTGGAAGGAAGGTTGGGCGATCTACTTCTGTAGTGATACCACCTTGGCAGCCCAGGGAGGGGTCGCCATGACGACAGCAGTAAGTTTATTTTTAGTTTTAAGCCCTGGGAAGCATTTGTAGTCTTTCCTACCATGAGTCAGGCTTGACTCACCAGCAGTGGGTTTTTTGATTTTAGGTCTGCTCTCGGTGCATAAGTAGCTTTGGTAGTGCAGTGGTTAAGGCGCTCTGCAGGAGAAAGAAGAGGCAGTCTGCTTCCATAAAGATTGACAGCCTTGGAAACCTACAGGGCAGTTCTGCTCTGTCCCGTGGGGCAGCTGTAAGTCAGAATGGACTCAGCAGCATAGGTTTGGTTTGCTTTTGGTGCCCACCTCAGTGGTCTTCTGTGTTTTCTCTTTACTCTGTCTGCTCCAAGTCCCGCTGGTGTGTTCCCACAGCACCCCGTTCTCCTTCTCACACTTAACCTCCGCCTGGCTGCCTCCCCTGGCTTCTGAGGCTGCATGTTACTGATACCTTGATCCCCAGTGGCCGGCACAGGGCTGGCCCAGAAAACCCCAGGGCTAGCTCCTTCCTGATAGGTTTCTCCAGGGGCTCTTCACGTCCCCCGTGGCTTGCCGGGCCTGCGCCTTGCCTCGATCTCTGCACCGTCTCCAGTAGTGACACGGGACACTCGGCAAGCTCAGGAAGCACAGTAACAGTAGCAATAACGGAACCAACGTTTGCTGAAAGTCCCCGTGTGCCCAGGGGTCCCGGGCGGTGCAGACCATAAACAAGCTCAGCTGCCAACAAAGGTTGGAGGTGTGAGTCCACCCAGAGGTAGCTCTGAAGAAAGGCCTGGTGACCCGCTGCTGAAAAGTCAGTTCCTGAAAACCGTGCAGCATGGTTCTGCTCTGACACAGGTGGGGTCGCCGTGAGTCAGAATTGGCTGGACAGCACCTGTTTCTCTGTTTACTTTGTGCCCAGCTCAGTTGTAAGCACTTGGCATGTACTTGCTCATTGAATTAGCAATTACTTTACAGTAGGGTCACTGTGAGTCGACCCAACAGCCATGGGTTTTATAGTTGGGGTAAAGAGGACAGAGCCACTGAAAAACTGGCTGAACTCTCCAGAGAGCCTTGCCGATTCCCCTGAGCTGGTGACCTCCAGAGTGACAGCCCTGAAGGCCCTCGGCTGCTGGGACTTCTGGGGACATGCCATCACTCACCAGGTGCCCTTTCCAAGGTGTGAGATTTAACGAGATGGCACAGACAGCCTCCTGAAGTTTCAGAGAAAGGTGTCGGGTCTGTGCAGAGTAATTGTTCTTTATGAATGATGGATGGCACTGCCTGTTGTCCTAGCAAGTCTGCTGCAGTCCCCAGTCCCCTGTAGAAATCATCAGACCTCACCACTGCTGTCGGCTACAGAATATTTGCAGGGAAATGGGGTGAGACTGCTTGTTTGGAGAGTCATTGCAAATACAGATTATGGAGTTGGAATTAGTGAGGGGCTGTTTGATCTAATAGGAGCGGTAGTAGGCCACAGCAGAGAGAAGGCTGTAATTAAGCCCAGCGATAGCTCATATCCGCCAGTCTTTGTGCCTTTGTGGTAGTGATGTGTATACAGTCTCTTGTTAAATCCATTTTGCTAGTCCCCTTTCCCCTCCATTTGCCAGGGGAGCCCACAGCAAATGTCCCTGAAATTCTCATAAATCTGGTATGTAATAGCTTTGAGTGTTACTAATTTTATGTACAGTTTGATTTGAAAAGTATATTTTACATTCTTTCTGGAACTGAGTAATGGAACTAGAAACACAGTTGTATTTATTTCAATTAAAACAAGAAACAGACGACTTTGCCACATTTATTAACACAAAAATAGTCCAACACTGTGATGAGAGTCTGTCACAGGCAGACATCAGTTAAGGACACCTCTGAGAGGCTGGGGTGATGACTCTGTCTCCCTACAGAAGGGTTTTCAGATGC